CACAAATAAGTAAGGATAATAAACAAATGTTAAAGAAGGTCATGAGATCAACATTTAGTTTAACTGCACATAGATTAATCAATCATAGTCAATTTATATTTGTCTGTTAAATTTTTAAATACAAGAAATCATGTGACTATACTGAGGTAAAGTATTCACGAGAGCACTGCTTGTGCACTTCCAACCAAGCAACTAGTATGAGAGCTGAAGCTTTGACTTTGTCCAATGTGGTGCTAGCATATTTGTGTTCAGTCACCCACATGATACTCACTCTCAGGGAGTGTGGATGGGGGGGATTTGCAGTGGTATATAACAGGCGATCACACTACTCAGTGCTGAGTAGTGACATCATCGTCCCCACTCTCTGGCTAAGTTGGCATTACATAGGGACATTTATCGTGGCAAACACAAATGAAAATTGTTTTCAGTAAAATGAATAAATGCTTGTTTATTATTATTATTATTTTATGATTAAAATAAATAATAAATGTTACTGTAATGGAATCTTCTCATGGAACCCTTCTTTTCACTTTGTGGAACCCTGGGGTTCCGCAGGACACCATTTGGGAAACACTGGCCTAGACAATCCGAAGAATAATAAAACACTGTTAAGCTACACAGTTGTAAGCAAAACTCATGAAGTCATTCTGCCGCTCTACTCTGCACTAGTTATGCCTCAGCTGGAGTACTGTGTCCAGTTCTGGGCGCCACATAAGGGGACAGAGAAGAGCGACAAGGATGATTAAAGGTTTAGAGAACATGACCTATGAAGCCAGGCTTCATGAACTGGGCTTGTTTAGTTTGGAAAAAAGAAGATTAAGGGGGGACATGATAGCGGTTTTCAAATATCTAAAAGGGTGTCACAAGGAGGAAGGCGAAAATTTGTTCCTCTTGGTTTCTGAGGACAGGACAAGGAGTAATGGGCTTAAAGTGCAGCAGGGGAGGTTTAGATTGGACATTAGGAAAAAATTCCTAACTGTCAGGGTGGTCAAATATTGGAATAAATTGTCAAGGGAGGTGGTGGAATCTCCCTCTCTGGAGATATTTAAGAACAGGTTAGATAGATTTCTGTCAGGGATGGTGTAGACGGAGCTTGGTCCTACCTTGAGGGCGGGGGGCTGGACCCTATGACCTCTCGAGGTCCCTTCCAGTCCTATGATTCTACTCCTCTCTTTCTCTTTTCTGGACACGTGCCTCCTTCCCAGCTGTTTCAGCAACAACAACATTGGTCAGCGTTGTGCCTCAACGTCCAAATTCTTCCATGTAACCCATTGAAAAGTTTCAGGATAGCTCTCCTGTTGCTAGCAAGGTCTATGCATAGGTCTGGAAATAAAAAGGAAAGTTTTCTCCCAGGCCTCAAGATTTCACTCGCTCAGCTGTGTGTAGGATTGAGTGTTGGATGCTCACCAACTAGCTCTGCCAGTTCATCCTCGGGAAAGGGTGCATCATCTGATTTCCAAATTAGAAACCACAGCACTTTCAGTAATAGTAACGATTTCTTTGCTTATTTCTGTACAATTTTCAAATAGGCAGTCCTCTCCCCTGCTGTGTGAGACCCCTGCAACAAGGAGAACTAGTCATAGGAAATGATGGTCTATACACAATATGCTGTTGATATACTAAAAAATGAAAATGTTTTGCTCTATTCTTTCAGTTGTAGTAATGTTAAATGCTAACTTGTAATAAGTTAAAATAATTGCACAGATTTATTGTCTCTAAAATGCACTCAATTTCTACTGCTGTATTGCTCCTTCTGATTTTAGCCTGCCCATCCAGCTTCTCACTGCAGATTTGTGCAGCATCTCACACAGCAGTTTTTTTGTCTGAAGTGTGGTCTATTGCACTTTATGGATTTGGAATAGTGCTTCAGTTATGCTGGTAGGGTTATATGGGCTGCATAAGGTTGAACAATGTAGCTTTAAGAAGGCGTGGCACATTTTCTACTAGTTAATACGTTCCTCTAGTATTCATATACTAGTAGATTTTTTTTAAAATAGTTAATGTATCTGTATGTATTCCCATCCACACACTTAAATGCATATAAAATAGTAACATCAATGAAATCCTAAAAAATGGTCTGCCAGATACCAGCAACATTGCAGTATTTCAGTCCTAATGATTAATGTAATTGGGCTGTATTATGTCCCTGAACATAATTGCTTAGAGAGGCTGATAGAAAACAATATTAGGCATCAGGCAAGGTAGGAAGAATGAAAGATACTGGCAACTTTGGGGATTTCTTTGCAGTTAATGTTTTAGTGACACCCTTGTGGTGTTAGTTTTAGTGTATCACCACTCACTTTGAATACATTTTAACTTCTATAATCATTTGAACAGGCTTAATTGTTTTACAAGACTTGTTACAATACTGTTGATAAATTAAATATAAGAATTGCTTTATATTTAGCTGACTTTCAAATGTACATGTCATCTTTTTGACGTGTCTTCCAACCATCAAAGCAGACTTCCCCTCACCTATCCTAGCCTGAGCATCGGGGACATGCTCTCCATCCTCGAGGTAGCAAAAATTAGGTTCGGTTCAAGTGGGGTCGTAAGGTAATCACGTGCATCCTTCCTCCTGAACTGCCTTTTTTTCTTCCTTGTTTATAAATAGTTGAAATTCAGCACAATCCTAAGGCCAAAGGAGTAGTTTCTTCTGTACTATGCCTTTTAAAAGGTGACCTGGAGATAAGGTCCTCCCCCCCCGCCCCCCCCAAAAAAAAACATCATTCAACTTTCACATTCTTGGAAAATGAATCTCTCCCTTATGCTCCAGCCCCAAGCCAATGTTTGTTTCCTTTGAAGAATTCTTCTCTTTCCTTCTATTATATGCCATAGGAACTGCTGTGCTGGGGATAGGCCAGTGAATCTTCAGGTCCTAGTTTTCTGCTTTTAGCAGTGGACCATACATACACCTTCAGAGAGAGGCTTAAAAATCGTATGCACCTCCTTAGAGCAGTGATGCTTCTTGATGCTTCTTGTCTTATTTTTTCCTTCCACTCTCCTTTCTCTAGTACTCTTCTTTTTTTATGTATGCATTGTGAGCTACAGAGTGAAACTTGTGAAAAATTATTAGAATTAATAGAGCATGGTTATAGTGGTATATTAAGATGTCTCTTTCTTAGAAAATAAACTATTTCTAAAGTTTAGACTTCATTAATAGATGTGCTTCAGGTTACAGTTGTTTCTGTAATGTTCTGTTTTCAATCTTGATCTAATTCTGTTGATCATTTTAACCAAATATTGTTTAAAGTTGAAAGAGGCAAAAGCAAACAGTCTGAAAAAATCAAATCATATTGCAAAAACATCTTCCTCATAATTTCATCTTTAAAAGAGCAGATATTTATAGACTTTACACATTAGATAATATCGCATGAATATTTGTGAATTTAATGTTTTGAGATTAGCACACCATCACTAAAATTTTCCCCAGAATGCTATGATGATTGGATTCTATAGTGTGTGTAATGTCTACTTAGCTTAACTCCATTTTTAAGCTTGTGTTCTCAAACACATGTTGAAACATTGGTTTGATTCTTTTAAAACCAAAATTCATCTGTGAGATATTAGCCAAAGATTGTTCCAAAGAAAAGATGTTGAACCTCTCTGGTCTGGTACCCTTGGGACCTGACTGGTGCCATACCAGAGAATTTGTTGAACCATGGGAGGTCAATATTATGTAGCAGCATTACCTATACTTCCACTGTTGACTGAGCTCTTAAAAGACATTTAGGATATATTGGAGCTAAATAACAGTACAGAACACTGAGAGCCAGGACTAGTGACTATAAACAAACTTTAAGGGACTGCGGTAAACTTGGCCACACCAATGATAAGTGGATATCCGGCTAACTAAAACCATTCCGGATCATAGATGTTGCTGGACCAGAATGTGCTGGACTAGAAAGGTTCAACCTGTATTGATAAGGTTGGAAAGTAACTTCATCCGTATGAATTATTTAGTGCAAATCAACAGAGGCCCTATACTTGAGGTCTTATTTCCTATTAAGCATTATTTATTTTGAATCCTAGTTCTTTGTACTTTTGGTAATGAAATACTCATGTTTAATCAGTAAACTGCAAAACGAGTACTGAATTGTCTGTGCGCTAAATGAATTTTAATAATAGATTACAAAATAGTGATACTGTTAAATGCCAGAATAAAATTACTGAGTGTTCTTTTTGTATGGGACTGTTTTACAGTGTTAAGGAAAACAAAATACAAAGCTTGATAAGAATCTTCAGAGTTGTGCAGAAAGGGTATATTGTATATAAAATGTGCCTTATACCCATAAAACTCTGGTACAAGTGGGGGGAGGGGGGAAGGATAATGGAAAAACATAGTGCCAGAAACAAAATTGTTACATATTTCAAATTAAGTTATTACAATGGAAATCTGAAATACAGTGGCAAGACATCGTATGTGTTCCATGCATTTTTCCATACTGTTGGGTTTTTTGTTTTGTTTTTTTAATGGTAGTGACTGCAGTATGCTAGATGCTTTCCAGGCACTCAGGTGAGGATGGTCCATGCTAATAAAGCTCACTATCTAAGGATACAAAGGAGTTAAAGTATAAGGAATAACAGTATTTTTTTCATACTAGACAATTAAACTCACTGTAGACAGCAAAATCGGTAAAGAAGTCATTGTCTTAATTTTTTATAAAAGAAGTGAGCAGTCAATGTTTTTTCATGTGGTCCTGCTAGTATGTCTTAACTCTAACCTGGAAGAACTACCATTAACACTTTGGGTGAGGGAGAAGTTGTTTTAGTCTACAGACTGTGCTGTAACTCAGCTGGTGAGCTGGCCATTGGAGGGTAGAATTCTCCCCTCTCTATAGTATACTTCATTTTTTCTCCTTCCTCACTCCTTGTTAGCCCCAGTGCAGAATCTACATGTGCTTATTTTTGCATGCATATCAAATTATGAAAAGATTCTTTGGTGTTAACTGTATTTAAGCTCTATATATATATAATTTTTATTTATTTTTTTTAAATAGGATGCAGGACAGAAAAGATTTGGAGCTGTTTCCTGTAATATTTGTGGAATGCTTTACACTGCATCAAATCCAGAGGATGAAACTCAACATCTGCTCTTCCACAACCAATTCATAAGTGCTGTAAAATATGTGGTAAGGAAACTTCATGTGTTTTTAAACAGTAATAAGCTTTTTTTTTCTTGCTGTACATCAAACACAATTCAGATTACTTTTAATAAACTCTTAAAATATCCCAGTAGATGATAGGATATTTATTTGTGATAAACCTTTTTTGTTAAGGGAGCCTAGCACATGGTAATAAGTCAATTGCTATAAATTTATGATAGTAGCATTCCCATTCAGTTTTATCCTTTCCTTGTTGTATTTCTGAATTGTTTTGTAGGAAAATAAGTCATCACAATTTTTTTAAAGTTTTCTTAAATTTAGCTTTTGATATATAATAGGTAATGCTACAACATTTGGCATAAGAACTACATTTGTCATAAGAACTAGCTGGGGAGATCATTTTCTTTAGAATGCCATCCAGATTACTTCTATTTCACTTTTATATATGTATGCCAAATTAATATCTGTGAATCAGAGTTGGAGTATCTTGGAACTTTGAGACTAGAACTAAGGTGCATTATAGTTTTAATTGTACCGTAACACAGTACAGTCTGTTCTCTAAAATTTAACTGTGCATTCTGTACTCATGCATAATAGGTATGGTAGTCTCAAGTTTAAAACACAAGCTTGAAAGTTTTCTACAATTTCAAATAAATATTTTTAAAACATCTACTTTCGAAAGTTGTCCATATGTATGAAATCCAGAAAAAAACCAGACTTCATAGATTCTGTTATCAGACATGTTACCTTCAGTACTCTACACGCAAGTAGCTAAGACCTCCAGGATAACTGAACTGAGGCCGCCAATTCATTTCATATAGATTCCAAAGAGCAATTAGGCTGCTTTTAATTCTTGACTTGTGTTTGAACCAGTAGTCTAAAAAAGATCCATATACCATTGTTTTGAAACCATCTAAACAATTATTGCCAAATATTGAGGGCGTGTTTCATTCTTTCCTTCGTTGGCTGGCTAAATTCCTAACCCAAATATCTGAGAGAATATTTTCTGAAACGCATTAAGCAAATTGAAAGGGGATGGTTAACAAGAGACAGTGATAGAAGGCAGCACAATATCTATTTTCCTACTTGGTCCACTGTGTCCGTAGTAAATCTGTCCCGTCATCTTACAGATTTTTTGGGTTTTGCATATTCCCCAGGATTCTTTTCTTGATTGACGTAGTAGAATAGATTCTGTAGAAAACAATAGAAAGGCTACTGTGGTATGTCCAGTTTTGAAATGCTTAAATTGCATGGGAAGAATATTTTTATGGACAAATGGAGACAGATGTTGGAATGTAACTGACCTAATAACAAATGAGGAAAGACTAAATGAAGTTGTTTGAACAGCAGTTTTAGTTCTGTAGCCATTTACAGCCACTAGTATGTCAATTATCTATACTTTTAGGTGCTATTGGTAGGAATTCCAGAGGAAATGAATAATTACAGGTTATACTTCCCTTAACTGGGACTCCTGGTCCGTCAACATCCGTGGTCCAGCATGGACCATGGATGTTCCTGGATCACAGAGCCCAGGAAGAGAGAGGTCTGGTGGTGGCACAGGAGCACCATAAGTGGCACTAGCAACTCAGCCAGGAGCATAGAATGTGGGGAGGGGGGGCGAGGGGGAGAATGGACGGCATGGCGGGGAGTTCTGGTCCCAGCAGAGCTCCCTGGCCCCAGCGGCTGGGGACCTCTATACTGGCCATGAGGTCGTGGACCTCCAGCCTTGGCAAGTAAACTCCTACCTCAGCGGCGGCCAGGGAGCTCTGGCCCTGGCAGTAGAGCTCCAACCCCATCTCTCCACCTTCGCCGCATAACTCCAAGCCGCTGCGGAGCTCTGCCCCGGCTGCACAGTCAGGTGGCTGTGGCGCTCCGGCCCTGGCAACAGGTCCAGGGAGAGGCCCTGGGTGCTGAGGCAGCTGCAGGGGCAGGCTGAAGCCCTAGCCTGGCATCAGCATGACCACAAGAGGAGGGACCTTCCCTGGTCTGCCCAGTCTTTTCATCTGGGTCCCAAGCAAGCTCCAACCTGTACTTTTAAAATGCTTTGAGAATTGGAACAGCTGGTATGCTCTCCTTTCCTTGCTATCACAGATATGTCTAGGATAAGAGTGGCACACGTGATAGTGAAAGGAAGAAGAAATTGTATTACGAACAGTATAGAATAACTTTGTATTTCTTCTTCAAGGAGTGTCCCCATGGATGCTGCATCTCTGATCGGAGACTTCTGACAGCAATGCCATGGTCGGTTGCACATGCAGGGAGCTCGCTCATGAAATGTGAAGCAGCTACACCGCATGCACAGCTGACTGCCTCCTCACTGAGAAGTTACATAGTGTAGCTAGTTAAACAACTATTACCACAGAATTTTTTAATTGTTAATAGTCATTAGTTCAGCTTATCTCCATAGCCATAGTTAAAAATTCTCTTCACAAAGAATAGTGGAATAGAAGTAATTAGAGAATTGAATCCTTGGTGATACTAACACCTGCTGAAACCTTGCTCTCCCTGGGACATGCCTGGCTCACCTGGTTTTAAAAGGTACACAAGCTGCAGGCTGTCCATTTCTATTTCTGATGGATATGAACAGCATGTCTGTTTGGGTGAGGAGAATCCCGTGGAACAGTGCCCTCACTGCAGATGATGATGATGATGATGTGCCCACTCAGACACATTTACTGAGGCACTCCTCTTCCAAACCTAATCAGCAATGGCAACCACCACCTATTCCATCCATTTGGCCATACTGGGACCCATGGGCAGCATACAATTGGCATCTCCAGCACCAAAATCAAATGCACCAACAATACAGTCTCCAGATAGAGTTCAGATGCGGAAGAGGAGGACGTGGACATCACATGTGACGAACACACTCTCACATCTTATCAGCATCCCCTAACAATACAATCATGCCCCCATCACCGACTTCCAGGGATGATTTTAGATCATTCCAAGAACTTTTTAAGAGAGTTGTGGACACACTGGAGACTTCACTGGTGGCTATGCCAAAACACAACATGAAGCTGACAAACATATTACACACATCTCTACATGCAAAATTAGCTATCCCCATGAATGAGGCTCTTGTACCCTGATAAAAACATCTGGCAGATGCCAGCAACAATATTGCTGACCTGCAAGCGGTCAGATAAAAAATACTATGTTGCCCTAAAGGGGCAGACGTCCTGTTCTTCCACCCAGCCCCAAATTCTCTCATGGTAGAGGTGATAAATCAAAGAGAGAAACAACATACTACCTGAACCATCTCCTGCAACAGGTACTAGAAGAGGCTGGACACAATGGGGAGGAAAGCATACTTGTTTGCAAGTCTCTAGCTCAGAATAGACAATTATTCGGCACTATTAACAAAATACACACATTGCATTTTTGATCAATTAGCTTCTTTTATTGAATCTTTCCCAGATAACAGAAGGGATTGGTTTAAGTCAGATGTTAACGAAGGGGCACTAATTTCTAGGATGGTCTTGCAGGCTGCGCTGGATTTTGCAGACACGGCATCCAGATCCTTAGCTTCCAAAGTGGTGATGAGGCAAGCATCATGGCTTCAGCTCTCAGGATTCCCAAGAGAAGTCCAAGCAACAGTCAAGGACTTGCCGTTCAAAGGTGCCAAGTTCTTTGTGGATTCAGCAAACACCTCCTTACACACCCTAAAGGACTCATGGGCCACATTAAAGACTCTTGGCATCCACGTACTTGTCACAAAGAGAAAACAGGGCAGGTCATTCACACAGAGGTACAGATCCACATCCTTTAACCAAAAACCATGACACTATGACGACAGTGTTGATGGTTACAAAATAGGTGCAGACCGGCAACATCTCAACAACGACCAACATCCTGACGAGCGTTTTGAAGTCTGAGTTGAGGGTCTCTCTCATGAACATGTGCTCGTACAAGAGGCTGAACACCTACTCGGGCTAGGTGCCATAGAAGAGGTATCAAAGGAACACAGAGGCAAGGGTTTTTACTCCCATTACTTCCTCACACCCAAGAAATCAGTAGGGTGGAAGCCGGTATTAGACCTCTGAAGGCTCAATTGCTTTGTACGTTACCAGTGGTTCAAGTGGTTATCAGTGGTAACCCTTGCCACGATTATTCCTGCTTTGGAAAAGAGCATGGTTATCTACCCTCGACCTCCAGGATGCCTGTTTTCATATATTGATACACATGTTGCACAGACATTTTTTTCCTTTCAATATAAAGGACATGATTCCACATGCCTGCCTACACATGAGGCCTCTCCAGGCATGGCTACGCACAGTATAGCAGCCACGCATATAAACAACCAACTTATCATGCCAGCCAAGATGAAGACTTCACTCACGTGGTGGACTCTGCACAACCGTGTATATGTAGGGGTCCCCTTCCAGCGAACCTCACCATCAGTGCTTTACTATGGGGCTGGGGTGCACACCTGGACCGTTGAGTGGTACAGGCTCAGTGGACCCTGGGTGAGACTAAACACATCAGCCTACTCAAATTCAGGTCAGTATGAAATGCCTATACACACTTTCTATCATGATTCAGAACAGACCTGTTCAAATTCTTACGGACAGTGTCACTACAATGTATATCAACCGACAGGGAGGAGCCCAGTCATACCAACTGTGCCGAGAGGTGGTCCACTTATGGGAATGGTGTATCCCCGGAATATACACCTGGTTACAAATTACCTCCCTGGCAAGGTCAACATACTAGCGGACAATCCAAGCAGAGAATTCCCACAAAATCACGAATGGGAAATAAACCCATCAGTGCTAACTTTCCATTTCAAGAAGTGAGGATTTCCAACAGTGGACCTATTTGTCACATATGAGAGTGCTTATCCGTGCTATTGCTCCAGAGCGGGCATAGGTCCTTACTCCCTAGGGGATGCCTTTAGCATACAGTGGAAGGCACTTTTATCCTATTCTTTTCCCCTGTTCCCACTAATACAGTGAGGGTGATCCTCAAGATCAAACAGGACAGGGCCAGAGTAATCCTCATAGCCCCCAACTGGCCCCGACAAA